TTGATGCATGAGTCATCCTATCCGATCACGTGACTTGGATCAGCCAATCACCTTCGGATGCGCCTGGATCAACCGGATCAACCAAAAGGGGTTCCTGGCGACCCGTTCTATACCACGCTCATAGTCATGTTGCGTGTCGTGGTTAGAACCGTAATTTATCTATTGAAAGGTGTCATACATTCGTGTTCGGATATAGGTACAACATCTACAAGCACATACTTTCCTACATCATTCAAATGTATTAAATACCGGATACGTTTAATAGACACCAACGAAAGAAAGGTTTAATGAGGGGAATACCCATATATATATATATATATATATATATATATCCTCTCTGAAATAACTCCCTTTTAAAATTACAAATGTACAACACATCTTCCCTAACATATCATAAATACGGGACACTGGTCACACCATTTATGAATGGGAAGCTTCAGGCGAGGCTGGTATGTTGACATTAATTGTAAGGCCGGGGTATGTTGAAATTGTTATGGGCGGCCGGTGGCTTAGTCTCTCTGCTATACATTAGCTATGAATAAACCTGCTTCGACATATATTTCCAATAAAACATTTTCCTCGTCAAACAATTTTCCATGATAAACTCTATTCTCACTTCGAATTAAGGGTGAGTATTGTAAACATGAAAATGTCCTATAGATTGCTTCCATCACTTTCCAAACAAACCTAGCTTCGTGTCGTCACACTGCTACATGTACTTATCAGTTTTCTATCTATTTTCAAAATAGCACGTTCTGAAGTAAAACTGTGCACATCATGTTACACGGTTAAAACTCAAACCGCACGGTTTATTTATCATGGCGTTAAAAGGAAAAGCTAGCATTGAAACATCAACTATATGCAAGTCGGGACAGGGTTGAATAAGTGAACGCCTTCTATACAAATGGTTCACAATAGCACGCAGCGCGGGGTGATTCGAAATCCGGCTGCCTTCAGCGTTATAGTCAATGCAGGGTGACGTGACTACCTCGTTGTTGCGCGCTAAACGTAAACGACACCGCTAGCTTGCTGATTGCGTAGTCTTATCTATTTTGTCTATATTTTTTTTCTATCAGGATGTCTAACGTTCATGGTGTACAACGTGTAGACCGTACAAGATTAATTTGATCCAGCTAGACGTACATTTTTTCCCCACCTACATTACCCGGCGTATATCATGTTGACACAACCCGTCTCTATGGTGGTACTTGTACTTTCAACACACACCCTGCATTCATCAAACCAGATCGCACGCTCTAGCGAGCGCGGGTTATTTGAATATATAACGTGAGTTGTAAAGCGCGCTCAATTCAAACTGGGCTGACGGTACGGTCTGTCTATTTAGGGCAGCACGCTATACACATAGCTCTATTCATAACCTTTTACTTTTGTTTTCTTATGAATTCTTTTCTGCCTTATAAACACACACACCTTTCATTCCCCACCCTTTCCCGACGCGCTGTTGATGCATGAGTCATCCTATCCGATCACGTGACTTGGACCAGCCAATCACCTTCGGATGCGCCTGGATCAACCGGATCAACCAAAAGGGGTTCCTGGCGACCCGTTCTATACCACGCTCATAGTCATGTTGCGTGTCGTGGTTAGAACCGTAATTTATCTATTGAAAGGTGTCATACATTCGTGTTCGGATATAGGTACAACATCTACACGCACATACTTTCCTACATCATTCAAATGTATTAAATACCGGATACGTTTAATAGACACCAACGAAAGAAAGGTTTAATGAGGGGAATACCCATATATATATATATCCTCTCTGAAATAACTCCCTTTTAAAATAACAAATGTACAACACATCTTCCCTAACATATCATAAATACGGGACACTGGTCACACCATTTATGAATGGGAAGCTTCAGGCGAGGCTGGTATGTTGACATTAATTGTAAGGCCGGGGTATGTTGATATTGTTATGGGCGGCCGGTGGCTTAGTCTCTCTGCTATACATTAGCTATGAATAAACCTGCTTCGACATATATTTCCAATAAAACATTTTCCTCGTCAAACAATTTTCCATGATAAACTCTATTCTCTCTTCGAATTAAGGGTGAGTATTGTAAACATGAAAATGTCCTATAGATTGCTTCCATCACTTTCCAAACAAACCTAGCTTCGTGCCGTCACACTGCTACATGTACTTATCAGTTTTCTATCTATTTTCAAAATAGCACGTTCTGAAGTAAAACTGTGCACATCATGTTACACGGTTAAAACTCAAACCGCACGGTTTATTTATCATGGCGTTAAAAGGAAAAGCTAGCATTGAAACATCAACTATATGCAAGTCGGGACAGGGTTGAATAAGTGAACGCCTTCTATACAAATGGTTCACAATAGTACGCAGCGCGGGGTGATTCGAAATCCGGCTGCCTTCAGCGTTATAGTCAATGCAGGGTGACGTGACTAACGACACCGCTAGCTTGCTGATTGCGTAGTCTTATCTATTTTGTCTATATTTTTTTTCTATACAGGATGTCTAACGTTCATGGTGTACAACGTGTAGACCGTACAAGATGAATTTGATCCAGCTAGACGTACATTTTTTTCCCCACCTACATTACCCGGCATATATCATGTTGACACAACCCGTCTCTATGGTGGTACTTGTACTTTCAACACACACCCTGCATTCATCAAACCAGATCGCACGCTCTAGCGAGCGCGGGTTATTTGAATATATAACGTGAGTTGTAAAGCGCGCTCAATTCAAACTGGGCTGACGGGTACGGTCTGTCTATTTAGGGCAGCACGCTATACACATAGCTCTATTCATAACCTTTTACTTTTGTTTTCTTATGAATTCTTTTCTGCCTTATAAACACACACACCTTTCATTCCCCACCCTTTCCCGACGCGCTGTTGATGCATGAGTCATCCTATCCGATCACGTGACTTGGATCAGCCAATCACCTTCGGGTGCGCCTGGATCAACCGGATCAACCAAAAGGGGTTCCTGGCGACCCGTTCTATACTACGATTGTATCCTGCTGTTTACAGTTATAATTATTTTGTAGATTTTTCATATCTTTCATACATTTTTTCGCCTACTTTGGATATTTGTCAATGTTCGATATGATATTATACGTAGATCTAGGCCACAACGTGTATCTACCTTTGATAATCTCCTGTTTGTTTGGACAAGAAATTGATAAGTTTATATATATAGTGTTGTATACGATATTTCTTTAATCTGGACAGTGTTACATCATTACCTTACGTTGAGTCACATATTTTTGACAATGCAGTTAATAATGAACTGTAAAATGTGCAGAAATGTTTTTATTATGCTAAATATTGAGATATGCAAGACAACAATGCCCGAGACGAGGTAAGAGAACCTCTTCTCTCTGATTGTTTGGGGATAGTTGTAATGCATTAATAAAAGGTTCCATGTCACAGAGATAACTCCTTTTGAGGATGATGCCCATGTCTGTCATGTTCAGTAATATGGAAAGCAGTTTTCTAAGAACGCATACCATAAGACCCCATACCATCTTTACAACGATCTTGAAAATTATCAACATAATCACTTACACAGGTTTGATTTATGTAAATAGTTACTAAATACCATCCATGTTTAAAAGAAAATCGACACCTGGACGCACCCAGGTGCAATCTTAGACTACATTACTACTATAGTATTATTTGTAACACCTTGAAACGGAATGTCACCTTCATACTGCTGTCACTCAGCTACAACGTTGTACAAAGTTAGAAGTGATGACTGGGTGAATGAATAGAAACCATCCATTATGATTCTGCCCATTTGTTGAGTAATGGACATTGACTTATTTCGTTGGTATTAATAATTGTATTGCATTTGAATGTTGTTTAAAAATATATAGCTAGAAAATATCAACATCGGCCATGGTTAATTGCTATTCTATTCCAATTTCAATATTTTCAACAGAGGTTTTATCATTTAAAACGTAATCATCCAATGAATATATTGCAACCACATACGAGTCGTACAACACATTTCTATTTTGTCAGAAGAGTCACATCATATTTATTACGAGTTATTCTTTATTCCTTTATTAAATGGAACACCAACCCTCTTAAAATAAACTTTTTCGACGTCATGGAATGGAAAGACAAAGTTAGGAATATTTTCAATGCGACATTTATACTTTATGGGTGGCTCTACATATGTCGACATATATAAACTTCCTACATGCGTATCTCATTCAAATACCTGAGAGTATTTTATTCGCTCAAAGTTTTCTGACAAGTGTATGATAAATATTTTTCTCGCATAGCACAATTTCGGGGTGTATTCGAAAACCTGCGAAATGTTCATGCAAAGAATACGCTAGACTATGTTTACTATCATTTCTCTTACATATCGATATCATGTACGTAAAATATATGAAGAAAATAATTTTGGAAATTTAATTTCCTACAATTAATTACAATTTAAAGTTTGAAGGTCTTTCCTGCACCCGACGGTGGCACATCTAACAAAATGACTTATGTAGTTTGTGACGTTTCTCAGTGGAGGCTTTTGTAGAAGGGTAGCGCGTCGTCTTAAAATAGCGACCAATGAAAAATTACATAACATAGTGTATGTTTACTATTTCGAAGGCGCTCACAGCCATCGTCTCATTGGCCTGTACCGGCTCCTATATTGTGATATTGGAGACGGGGCCCAGCTTACTGTCTGTGGTGGCAGCGTCCGAAAAGAGACCTCAACCAACGGGCTATCGCTGTGAGGAGCTTGTCTGTCGCAAGCACGAACGGGAACCAGTCAACTATCCCAGAACAGCTACACATACGACTTATTCTCATTTCGAAAAAGGAAATATATTAATGTTTTAAGTTATTTCTAAAAGTATTTCATGGCATTTGTAATATGCCTTTAGGCAATTGAAAATACATTATTTCACATTTATGAACAAAGAAATCATGACTGATATCACGTATAGTCTAAATTGCTAATGACACTTTCTAGAATTATTAGGAAAGTAGTCTTTTGTTCCCGGCGTGCGAAGGAAGGATAAATCAAAAGAAAGTATGTAGTCTTTATGTTTTGAGTGATAATAAGCAATATGATTCCGGCATGAAATAGCAATATCAGGGGGCACTGAAGATTTTACACACTGTTGCAATTGTACTCGTGGTACTTTCCGTTTCAGTCATTCATATACACTGACTGGACATAACCTGGAAATGTCGACTAAGGAAAGATGCCAGTTTGTGTTGTCGACTAGGCCTATTCGAAAATAACCACGAACAACAGTCAACACACTATAGCCTTCTTATCATAGTTAATACAGTATAGATAACGTGATGAGGTTATCTCTGCTGTGATGGGAAACATGCAAGACGGTCGCTGCACGAAGCGATCTTTGATGTAATAGCATTTGCAAGACGTTGGAAAATGAAAGTTAGAAATAGTACTATGGTAAAGGAGGGTTGCAGTAATTTCATGACCCAAACGAATTCGTACACCTAGAAAATTCGTAACCCTAAAAATATTAAAACTTCATGACCCTGTTTCGTATGTCTAAATATTTGTTTATACAAGACAATATATTATCGTTGGGCTTATGGTTTCCAAACATCTCATATTCGATTATAAGAGACGTCGCTGAGATTTCTTAAAACAAAAGTTTCACCACAAAATCATTGCATTCACATTTATAAAGTCAACCATTCATTCTCTGTAACATTCATGACAATAGACACATACATACAACCATCACCTACACGATGAAACACACCACACGGCACAGTAAAACAACCACCAATGTTCCAATTGCGTCGATCAATGATCAATCACAGCATAGTATGGTCCAGACAGCCATCATGTAGCTGGAATATATTGTATATCATGAATGGTTTGCCAACAACCACATTTATCACACTGAAGTGCTTGTTGGCATGTCTAAACTTCCAAATCACAAATGATACATAAAGCCATCGTTCAAATTACTTGATGATTCTGGCTGTGTGATTGGAGTGAGTGAGTTTGATTTTACACCGCTTTTAGCAATATTCCAGCAACATCACGGCGGGGGAACCAGAGATGGGCTTTACACATTGTACCCATGTCAGGAATTGAACCCAGGTCTTCGGGGTGGGGTCGGTCGGGTAGCCTAGTGGTTAAAGCATTCACACTCATGCCGAAGACCCGGGTTCAATTCCCAACATGGGTACAATGTGTGAAGCCCATTTCAGGTGTCCCAACCGTGATATTCCTGGAATATTGCTAAAAGGGGCGTAAAACCATGCTCACACACTCTTCGGCATGCTGAGTGAATGCTTTAACCACTAGGCTTCCCGACCGCACCCACGCCGAAGAACCGGGTTCGATTCCCGACATGGGTACAATGTGTGATTGGAGCACACACACATTAACGTTATAATCAACGTAACATTATCAGTGATTTTCTCCAGAGTGAGGAGGCTTTAGCCATGGTAACAGAGACAATACATGAGATAGAGACACAGTTGTCTGTTCAGCTGGATGTTAATGTAACCGGGGGTGTTCATAAAAAACACGGGTTGTTCCATGTGAAGAGGATTTATTGACGGTCAGTACAAATGCCCTGAAACTACTTAAAAAAATAAATATACACATAAATATATATTCTACCATGAATTCGGAATTTACTCGATTCTGATTGGTGAATCAGAGGCTACTGAATCACAATAAACCCCCTCTGATTGAAACAGCTGGTTTGATGGCTGCATCACCGCAGAAGCTAATATTCATAGAATAGTACTATATTCAGTCATTGTTGGTAGGCATATTTAAATAATTACAGGTTACTACAATATTCGAAGGATGTGTGGCAATACATTTCGTGCAGAAAACACGATAGAAATCTACAAAGGGAATGTATTTACGTTTTGGAGACAACAGAGAGCTTGAAATTTTGGCGCTTTTCTATATATACGAATAGTTCGGGGTAAGATAGTGATAATCCACACAAACCTACTTTTGAGATAACTGATTTTCAAAGTTTGATAATTAATGAAAAATATTAATGTGACTTGTTTTCTAAAATATAAGCACTTTTAAGCTCATTTGTAATTCTAGTGGTGTACAAAAAAGACGCAGTGTGTTTTGTCTACAGAAAATTTACTTTTTATGCGCACGAATATACCTACTGTAGAAAAGTATTGTTGCTTATCATTTTCCTGCCAAAACGTATTTGTCATACTCTTACCCAAAGATCGATGTTTATATTTGTGTTAACCCAATTCAGATTCACAGTAATACAGAAATGAAAGACTTTGTAATTCTAAAGAAAAGAAAACATATTTCTACATTTAATATAACTTTATTTCAACACAATTGGGACAATTCACTAAAGAAAACACATCATCAGAGAACTAACTCTCACTCATGGTCATCTTCAGTCAATACTCAACTGTACAGAAACCTACAGATTTCCCATGTGTAGTGAAGGCCAAACATTGACGATTCCAACCAATATTTTGTTTTAGAATCACAGACTCGTCACTATAAACCATAACTAATCAATAATGCAAGGAACATCCTAAGTTCCTAAAAATAAAGAGCAAAAAGTAATAGGTGCGGGATAAACACAAAATCCTGACCTGGAAATTTTTCACAAAGAGATTGACAAGTTAGGTAGCCTTAACAGCTGAAAGAACACCCAAAAAGGAACTTGAACGATCACGATAGTATATGAAAACAATGCTTACACCATTATCTTGCATAACATGATTGGAAGTTATTCAAAACTATCTCCGGTTTGTTGAAACTTATTCAATAGATGCACTGTCTGCTTCACTGTCAGACTCTGCCCTTCCCTGAATCTTGAGACTGGTGTAATAGCCATGATGCAGAGGTGGGATGTAGGCAAGAAGTGACAACACATCATCTATTTTCAGCTTATCAAGTGCCCTAGGACCTTTGTACTTGCAGGGTAGCTGTGCGTTGGCTATGTCGTTCCTTAGTCTGCCACGTTTGTTGACGCTGACCACATTCCAAATGTCAGTGTTGAATGAAGAACTAGTTTCAATCAAGCCAAATTCTTCACCTGACCTCATGCGAAATCGGACAACATTCTTGAAGTTGACTTGGCTTCCATCCACATTCTTGGTCTAACTGTGAAATACTCTTTCAGATAACTCAGTTGAAGAAAATCATTCTTTGTCATCTCAGATACCTGGAGCTTCTCTGAAGATAGTGCTATGACCTCCCTCCACTGTCCAGGTGTGAAAACATACTGAGTCCTGTGTCGGACATGATTTTCAATAAAGCAAAATCCCTGTCAGATGGAAGCATGCTATGGCCACTGAGAGGAAAGTGATGTTCTACCTTTTCAAATCTTCCACAGGCGATGAAGTAGAGCCACAGAAATTGAATGTTCCAGTTTTTGTTCTGGCCTGCACAGTTATCTGAAATGGCTACAAGTGTGCCACCTTGGATATTGTTGCCCTCAATGTGTTTCTTCAAGCAGCTACCAATATCTTAGGATCCACGGCTAGCCACAGATTCGTCCCAGACGTAACAGAACCCCTTGTCAGTATTGCAGTCATGGATGTTCAAGTTGTATGTCCATACCTTGCGTTTGTAAAAGGCAGGTCCAGTTGACAGTTTTGGTGTTGGCAAAGCTTGTTGAAGGTCAAATGTGATTGCATGGTATCCAGTTGGATGTGATGCTTTTGCTTCCTTGGACTGAAGTTTGATATTGTCCTGACCAGCTTCTGCTTTCCTGTGATGTAGCTCTTTTTCCTTCTCCAATGCTGCAACCTTTGCGTCATCTTGCTCAAGTTTTGCTTGAGCAATGTTGATATTCATGTCATCACAGGTTTTACACGTGTCACTTTTTGGAGTTTTGAAGCCAATGTTGAAGTCCTCAACGAAAATCCGATGCAATGAGCGACATGACGTCAAAACTTGCTTTGTTTTCTTTAGGGATGCCCACCTCATGTTAGCTTACCAAGTTGCCTTACTTATATGCTTTCAATGCCTGTCATATGTTTGAGTGAAGTATAAGGGTGTAAACAAACTGCTTGAGTATATACAGCGCCATATTTTGTTCAGTGATTCCGTAATTCAGATCGATAACCCACTCAAAACACTGGACTCAACCCATGCTGCTTCACTCAGTATATTTGCTAACACCAAAGAGTTCACGTTTTATTTAGTCATGGTAGAATGGAGATAAACATACTGTGTTTTCTATGTAGAGCTAGGTTACCTGTAGATTTAACTGCGCTAAATTTAACATTTGAAACCTCATGCTGCGCGTTCGGTTCCAAATTCAATTTAGCACTTAAATCTACAGGTAACCTAGCTCTACATAGAAAACACAGTATGTTTATCTCCTAATTTATACATTGTATATGAATATACACAGACTAAATATGTAAGGGCACCTCACATTCACATGCAGTATTTTCATTCACATCGTCACACTGACAACATCATAAAAGTCGATAGAACTCATGTTTTTAATAAATACATTGAAGGATGTTTTATAAGTCACAATAACTCTATGTATCATTTGTATTGCTATACATGTGTAATGAAATGATAAATATAATTAATGATTACATTATTACACAAGAAACTACAAGCATACCCTGTTGGTGAAACTGGGGCGAAAACTGAGTTCACCAAACACAAACTGACGGGACGATGATGCCTGCATCAAAAAACAAATACAAAGACAAATATACTCACTTGATTAAAACTGGTAATCTTAGAAAACACAAATTATGTGTTACACATACCATACCTATGAACGCTTTACATTATACATAAATAACATAGTTATAAGCATACACATACATGATAAAATACATGCGGACTCGCTCACTCATTCTCAAATGAAACATTTAGGAAAGGTGAAGATATACAGATTTCTCTCGGAACTTACTGACCTAGTTACAACATTTAAATGGCTGCAATTATATGACTATATGTAGTGACTGATCTTAATAAGTATTAAGACTTTGTAACACTACAACTGATTACACAATTAGAAACAAGTACATTATGACAATATGTATAAAACATTACTACCC